GATTCATGAGCGCAGACTGTTTTTTGTCATAATATTAAGATATGATATGCATTTTTCACTTTCATTCTTGCACAGTAGTACAGTAGAGTTTTCCAGAAGCCATATAATGGTACTGAAACAGATTGAATGCAGAGGCAGAAATGAGAATTCATCTATCTTCTATTTAAGCCAGACCTTAAAGAGATTTATAGAAGTATAAGCAATATCATTCTTCTGACCAAGTTCATTTTATTTTGAGAAAGATAGTTACTTTCTGTAAACGAATGCATTATTTATGTTAACATGTAATTGATTTGTTTTTTTAGAGGAGCTAATAGATAACTATTTTCAAATTTCTCAGTTTTAATTTCAAACATGGCAACAATTGATAGCTATAACCAACATAAACGACAGCACTTGAAGGTGGTCAGTAATTTTTAAGAGTTTAAAAGGGCCTTTAGGTGAAAAAGTGTGAGCGCCACTGATCCAGGGAATCAGTGAAAAAAAAAAGAATTTTTAAGAACAGTAAGGGTTAGGGCAATAGAGCTCTATAAACGTTTATAAACAAAATCTTATGATAAGCTCTTGATTAAACAGAAAGTAACTAAATATCAAGAAATGTTCAGGAAGAAAGGCTTCACAGAATAGACAACCTTTGGGTTGGATCTCTAAGGTTAATAAGGGGGCAAAAGGAAGAAACAGCCAGTGCCAAGCCATGCGCATGAAGTGGAGTGTACAGTGGAGGAGCCACAGGGTTGCAGTATGGCTGGGGGAACGGTGCTTGGTGGACTGTGCATAAGATGAAACTGAAGAGGTACACCGGGCCCAGAGACTGGAGAGTTGTAGTACAGCATGCTAAGACGTTTGACTGTAAACAGAATGCAGAGCAGACAGGTGGGGTGGGGAGGCCACTGATGAATTTAAAGTAGAGGAGTAATAAAGGATTTTATATTTTAGGAAGTGTAGTAAATGGACTTGTGTTTGGTGACCAAGAGACAGGACTAGAGTCTAAGGAAACAGGTCACCACTGAATTGATTCAAGCTAAAGATGATGAAAACCCGAGTCAAGGTGAAGGCAGTGGAAGTGGGGAGAATGGGACATATTCAGAGCTGTTTAACAAGTGGAAGTGTAGAGTTGGTGAACATTTGGTTTGACGGTTAAAGGAAACCAGGGCACTTCCTCTACTCAAGTTGCTAGTCTAGTGGAAAGAGACGAAATAAATACACAGCTTTAGTAGGAAGGGAGTTTATAAGAGCAGAGAGGGAGGGCATGTAGCACTCAGTGATTTTTTTTTTCTTGTTTGCTTTTTTAGCTTAGGATGACTAATGTAGAGATGATGGCATGAGGTATATCATTTCCAGAGGTGGAATAAGTAGAAATTAACCAGGCAACCATGATAGTGAGGGTTTCCAGGCCCGAAACTGCAGTGCAAAGGCTGAGAGGCCTGAAGGCTCCAAGAATTCTTACTAAAATGACTGGTCAGTCAATTGGCTGAGGCAAAGCCAGAGGTAGGGACAGTTGGGGAATGGTGGGATGGCTGGAGATGAAAGTCCATTTATAAATATCTGCTCACGATGCTTTGTTGCAGGTCTGAGTGGAGAGCTCTTGGTAATGAATGAGGCCACCCAGGGTTAGGTTGCAGATAAGAGGACTAAGAATAGAGTTTTTCAAAATCCATGATTAAAGTTATCAGAAGAAAAGAAATAAGGGGAAAGAAAAGAGATCAAACAGGTAGACCAGAGTTAAGGGCAGAAAGAGTGGTCAATAATGTCTAGTAGAGGTCACGTAAAGTGAGGACTGAGGGTTGTTTTGAATTAGGATAGAGGTCAAAAGTGCTTTTCAAGAGAACCAGGTTAGGAGTTGCTGAATCACATTCTGACGTGTTAGGGAATGCCTTGTGATCAACTGTGGAGCTAATTGAGGGGCAAGTTGGCAGGCCTTTTGGGAGCTGCTCAACTGATGTGGAGGAGTGTGACTTGTCAGAGAGGAGCCAAATGTGAGATTTCAAAACTGGAAGTACAGAGATTTTTTTTCCCCCCATTCTGTTGGCTTCCAATAGTCAAAACATCACTTAAGATTTTGTGTGATTCTTGTTAATAAACTTTAAAATATTTGTTGATTACATGTATGTTTTTGGACAGTCATCAGATAAAAATTATGTTGCAAGCTATCTGCAGTAAAACTCTAGACATATATGGATAGATTTTGAATCAATAGCTAATTTATTCATAAAACCATTCATTTATATGCACATGCTTACTGTGGGTAGATATGTTTATTTCATTATAGTTGCCTTTTGCATGCTATCGGAATTTTTTNTTTTTTTTTTTACACTAATTCTGCCTTTTGCATTACTGTGAATAGGTAATTGTTTGGATTTTCTTCTATTTCTACATCATTTTATACTCTGATTTCTTAGGATCCAAACAAGCTAATTAGTCAGTCGTAGATTAGAATATTTTTCTCAGTATTATATGGTGAGGTGTCATATACTGTATAGTCTTTTTCAGACTCTAATGACTGGCATTTACTCAACAGAAAGATGTGTCATGGCAATGCTGAGAAAGAGAATCAGGGATGAGAAGACCAACGTTAGGAAGTCTGCGCTCCAGGTATTAGGTTTTTCTAGACATTTTTTCATGCGCTCTCTTTTTAAGCATAAAAACTTGGAAATGGAAGAGAATATTTTAAAAACACTTCAGTCATATTTATTACTTAACTTGCTTTTCATATAACATTAGTTCATCTTGATCCTGTTATATCTAAGTAACAGGTGAACTGAAGGATTATCTGTTTTTAAGCTTTCCTACTGGGATGCTGGCTTTTTAAGAATTACAAATTTATAACATTGATTTCTTTTTTTAGAGTAGGGATTCTTTGTCTGGGGACCATGAACATAGTTTGATCGGGTTTGTGAAACCCCTCAAATTGTAAATACTTCTTTATGTAAAATGTATATGAAATTTTCTTAGGAGAAAGGCCTTAGCTTTCATCAGATTCTAAAAGGTGGGATGTTACTGGGAGGAGGGATGGTTCCTTGACCTCAAAAATGTTAAGAACCACAAAGTTGAAGAAGTATTTTTGTCTGTAGTTTGTTTTTTTGTATTTATACCCTGCATAAGTCATCACTTCATGCTGCATATGCACATTCTAGGTATTAGTGAGTATTTTGAAACACTGCAATGTCTCGGGTATGAAAGAAGAGCTATCAATTCTGCAGGACCAGTGTCGGGACCCTGCAGTGTCTGTCCGGAAACAAGCCTTACAATCTCTTACTGAACTTCTTATGGTAAGGGGCAAGATGTTCTGTGTCTACTGCCTGGTATTTTACATTAAAAATAATTCAGGATAATAATTGCCTGTTGCTGAATATTAAGTTGACCATTAGAAACTCTACCGAGTCTACTGTAGGATTATATAGTACAAGAGAAAGGAAGAAGTACCCTTT